TCATTATATTTTGACAAAAGGCAATTTTTGTTAACATTTTAGTCAAAACACTTTGCCTATTTCTCCATATATCAATTTTGGACTTAATCCTGGTTTCGATGTGATGGGTCTCATACGTATTTCTATTAATTTAGCGTAATGCTGTTACAGTTGAGTTACTTTAACTGAGTCAGTTGACATTTCACTCATTTAATGTGGTGATAAATAAGCTGCTAATAAGTACATAAGTATTGTCAACATCCAATCCAACCCATCAACAAATCAGTATGATTGAATATAATCATAACAACGGTTACATTTATTAATGACTATTTATTATTAAACTAATTTAATAGTGATTTTGTCTTGGATTGAAGAGTAGATCATCCTGCTGAACAGCTGATTTTGTTTGTTTACTAAATACAGTTGGCATGCCTGTGTAATCCAGCAGGCTGACATATTTGTAATATTGCACATAAAGCTGAGATGGTATAAGAGCTCAAAACGAGCTCAAAATGAAATTTAAAAAAATACATTTTTACACTTTATCCATTTCATATGTTTATTCATTAAGAAAATAAGAAATTAAGATTTGCTTGCACTGTCCTTGCTTTGTATTTGGTGTTATGGAAAAACAAATTGTTTCAAAACAGTCCTCTTTTATTTAGCTTAACAGTGGGACTTAAAATAAAAGGTTATGACATCAATTACTGTTGTATTTTATGTAGTTGTATTTTCTTATCACAGATTTGCTTCATACAAACATTTCCAATATTTRTGGAAGCTTGTGGAGCGTGCAGTGAAGACCAAGATGATACGGGTCACCAATACCAAGGCCTCCATAGCTGGCTCTGACAGATTTCACACATCCACGGTATGATGTATTATTTTATAGATCAGTGTGTGACAGTCAGATCTGGGGTAATCCCTGCAGTGTGTATGGTCAGATCTCAGAGCTGACTGAGCATGAAGCTTTGGGATTATGCTCCAGTGCAGTAACTAGGAACTACATAATTATAAATTGATATYATCAGGGAAAAACACACTTTTTGTTTACTTTTCATACCAATAATTACCCCCTAAAAACAGGACTCTCAAAAGCATTTATAAACATAGCTTTGTAGAAGTTTTATTGTAAGAGTTGTATTTTAATTTCTGTTCATTGTTTTTGTGTCTTTTGAAGAAACTTCCTCCTATTGATGAGCTGTTCCTTTTTTTGATGTACCTGTCCTTGGGCCAGCCACAACAAGATCTTGCTGAAAGGTTTGGCATTCACCGAACAACAGTAAGCAGGATCATCAACACGTGGGCCAACTTCCTCTACCAACTGCTTGGAAGCAAACGRCTCTGGTTGCCCAAAGAGGTGGTGCGTGCACGACTTCCGGCCGAGTTTGCTTCATACCCTGACACCCAGGTAGTGCTTGACTGCACTGAGATCTACTGTCAGACACCATCAGATCTCCTGTTGCAGAGTGAGGTGTTTTCTACTTACAAGTCCCACTCTACACTCAAGGCCATGATTGGCATGGCACCTCATGGTGCTATCACATTTGTCTCTGCCCTTTTTGCTGGATCCATGAGCGATCGTGAGATCTTCAAACAGTCAGGCATTGTCAGGTTACTGCAGCCTGACATGGCAATAATGGTTGACAAGGGCTTTCTAGTTGACAGTCTGGCTACTTGTAAAGTATATAGGCCAGCCTTCCTCTCAGGAAAAAATCAGATGAGCCCACATGATGTCCGTGAGACTCAATCCATTGCTCGGCTAAGGGTCCACGTAGAGCGCTGCATCAGGAGAGTGAAGGAGAACAAACTTTTTGACCATGTACTCCCGGTGTCTGTGTGTGGGATCATTGATGAGCTCTTCAATGTGGCTTGTTTCCTGGTCAATTACCAGAATGGACCCCTTGTGAAGGCATGGGCTAAATAAAGCAGTTGTTGTTATCGAGGGCTGGTGTCTCTGATTTAAGTAATTTTAATGAAATAATCCTGGCATGTATTTATCAAACTTCTTAGAATTACATTTAAGAATGCTGTTAAGAATGTACCAAGTGTAAAAAAATTATTTGCATAACACTGAGCCTAAAAGTCTTGTTTTGTCTTTTATGAAATTAACAGATTTTGAAGTTTGAGTTAAAGAGAAGGTAAAAGAAAAATTAAATTCAACCTTCACAAGTGAGGGAAAAAAATAACATCCAAACTTTTGACAGCATCATGTCGTCTGCTGTCACTCACCAGCTGATAGTTAAATATTCTCTCCAAAAGGTTGAAATACTTTGCATGCAAACTATGCAAATATGTCTCCTTATTCAAAAGTGAAGTTGTCGTGTTGCAAAATTTTAAATTCTTGTTTTTTGATATTTTTATTTGAGAAAGACAGATCTACAATTTACAGTCACAGCGCCATCTGTCTGATCTTTTTAGTACTAAAAA